TATAGCCCACTCTCATTAGTTGAAAGGCAACTTCATATAACTTGAATAAAATTATTTCCCATTAGATTCTTGCTTGATGGTATATTAAAGTGTGTTCTTATTTTTAATACTATAAGCCAAGAAACCAGAAGATTATATTGATCAGCATGTAAACAAACTATGTCATCAACTTTCAACAGTCATTTGGTATGAGTGATCCAAAAAGACACAAATCCTGCTTATAGTGATGAGGTTGCTGGGCTTGAATTGTAGCACACTTCTTACTAGCTACGTAACCTTGAGCATGTTGTTGAACTTTTTCTTGCCTGAGGTTCATCATCTATAATATGGAGCTGGTAAGAATAACCTACCTCAGAAGATTATTGTTGAGTAATAAATAAATTAACATATGTAAAGTGCATAATACATTGTAAGTATTCAATAAGTTTAGCTAGTATTATTATTACCACCATAATTATTACAATGTGAACAGTTCTCTCCTTCTGTCATATACAATATAATATCTTCAGTAAAATAAAGAATAGGTTCCGTAAATGTGGAGAAGGGTAGTAACAGAAGCTTGTTTGTCATAGTGCTAGGACTGACCCAAATTCTTCCAGACCTGCCAAAATGGCATTTGATTCCTTCTATGAGCAACAAAACAAGTTAGTGTTATGCAAAAATCTGGAGAGTTTTAGAGCAAAGGAAACATAACCTGGTATGCCTCTATCTAGAACTGAATTGCTTTAGTTCTTTCCTCTTTTATTTTTCTTCTTGAAATAGCATGAGATTTAGTATCAGAGAACCTGCTCCCATCCTGCCTTTGTCTTCTTATGAACCATGAGGCCTAGAGCTGGCTGGTAAATTCTCTGTGGACCACTCTTTCTTCCTGTGTAACACGGGGCCTCTGATAACACTTTTTAATTGCTGACCAACTGCTGCTTTCTTTTCTAGCTGCTGCCATTGTCACTTTGACTCTCTGAACCTTTGTCCAATCCTGAGCTGGGGTGATGTTGGACCTCTGTCCTTTATCATAGCAATTTTCCGTACCATTTATTTTCTTTCTTGTTTCCCCTAGTAGCTTGAGCATCATCGGCAGGTGCATTTCTGTCTTTTTCACATTTGCAGCATGCAAACTAGGGCCTAGTAGATGCTCAATTAAATTTTTAGCCATGATAAATTAGTCACAGTAGCCATTTCAATTGGTTATACTCACTCCGTTGCTAACTTTATTCAGAGGATGATGCTCTAATTTAAAGAGCCACATTATATGATTCTGTACACTTGTCTGCTACAAATCTCAATGTGCGTATTTTGCTCCAAAGGAAAAGCAGGCCGGATGGGATTGTCTAGATCTGGGTACCATGCCAATTATTTTTTTTCTCTTCTTTGTATATTTTATGAGTTGGAAAATGACAGGAATATTATGCATCAGTACTGGGGAGGCCATGAGCCTGAATACATAAATCAGTTTTCAAAGTTTATGGACTTCCAGCACGTTGTCAAAGAAATGTGCTGATCTCTCTTGCTCTTTCTGACTAGCCTAACTGCATATTTGCCCTTTAGAAATGTAATTATGTGGAGACTAATTAGTGGGCTATTGCAGTTATTTAGGTGATAGGAAAGATAAAGGGGCTCTGACTGCCATAAAGATGAACCTTGAGGGACAGAATGAAGAATCTTAGAAAAGAAGAATCTGTAGGCTTTGGAGACTTTATAAAACATGGCATTTTGAGGATAAGTGAAAAGTCAAGAGTGATAACCAGGTTTCTGATTTTAGCAACCTGACGGTCCTAATTATTGAGGAGATTTAATTTCTTTATTTTCATTGGGAGATACTGGTTTTAAGGTTTGGTTGTATTGCTTTTGAAATTCCATTGAGCATCTAGGTTGACGTGGCTCAGTAAACTGTTGAAAACAGATCTGAATGTCAGGAGAGAGAACTCAGCATGTGAGCTACATGTGTTCATGATGTCATTAGAGACAATATGTATCATGAAAAAAGAAAAAGACTTTAAGTCCTATGAAACACCAACTCCCCTTAAAGCATTGGCTCTCCTTTCCAAAGCCGTGACCCTTTAATACAGTTCCTCAACCATAAAATTATTTTCGTTGCTACTTCGTAACTGTAATTTTGCTACTGTCATGAATCGTAATTTAAATATCTGTGTTTTCCGATGGTCTTAGGCAACCCTGCTAGCAGTTCTCAACCTGTGGTTCACAACTCACAGGTTAAGAACCGCTGCTGTAGAGCCTAAGACCGTTGGAAAATACAAATATTCACATTACGATTCATTAACAGTAGCAAAATTATAGTTATGAAGTAGCAACAAAAATAATTTTATGGTTGGGGATCACCACAATGTGAGGAACTATATTAAAGGGTCAAGGCATTGGAAAGGTTGAGAACCAATGCTTAAAGGAATAAATGAATAAGAGGCACTTTCTTCATTTTCTGTAGGATGGTCCCGGTGATAAAAGAGAACGAGGGGGGACTGGTTTTTCAGAAACCAAGGAAATGCAGTTTTAGGAAGGAAGATGGGTTCAGTAGTCATAGGGGCGACAGTTGAATGAATGGGTGGTTCACATCAACATCTTATTTTTAAAATGTGGTCATTAGTAGAAATTTCATTATGACATTCTGTGGAATTCTGGGAAAGAGCCAAAACTGGATTTAGTGATAAATAAAAGTTGAGCCATTGGACATGAACACCATAGACTTTCTTAAAGGAAACCTAATGGAAGAACAATAAGAAGCAGTAGTTGGAGGAAGATGAAGGAATGAATAAAGGTTTTAAAGTGGTTTTCCCCTGCCTTTATACTAATAGGCACATGAACATTTTTGTGGACTTAAAGGAAAGAAAACTGTAATGCAGAAAGAGGTGGAAGACACTGGATAAAGAGAGTCTAATGGAAAGATTTGAATTCCTAAAAAATGTAGAAAGAAGAGATTAAACGACAAGATGGTATCTTTCCTCTGGTGTCATTAGCCTGTGCCAAAGGAAAAACATCTCTTTATCTGAATCTCAAAGGAAAATGATGAAGACAATTAACTTTGTAGATACGTTTCTAAAATGAGATAATGTAACAGTATATGAGCTAGTTAACTGGGAAGCATTTTGTCACTAAAATTATTGTTATAAAGGGTATTATTCCTTTTTTGAGAAGTATGTGGGTGTTTTCTCTTTATCAAGTTTACCTATTTTTAAAGGCAATAGAACATTTCCACAAGCTCTTGGGTACTGCAGAAAACTGCGCTTTGTTCTCAGAAAGAAATATACCCTTAACAGCAAAGCATATCAATTTCATGATCAGATTAATTGTTAAAAGCTTGTAATGAAAATGTACATTTATGTATAGATGTAAGATGTTCATGTGCTTGGAAATGGTTTACTCTATTCAAACTATTTTTTATTTTTATTTGTTCATTATTTTAAAATGGTTTTTATTGATTTTAGAGAGAGAAGAAGGGAAAGGGAGAGATAGAAACGTTAATTGGTGGTCTCCTGCATGCCCCCGTCTGGGGGTCGAGTTCATAACCTGGGCTTGTGCTCTGCCTGGTATAGATCTGTGATCTCTTTGTTCCCGGGTAGACACTCAGCCACCAAACCATGCAGGCAGAGTGACTTTTACATTTTTTATTTGTTGACCCTATTACAGATGTCCTTTTTAACAAACGGTATTAGAAATAATTATGAAACTACTTTATGCTAATGACAGGAGTGAGCAACCTTTAATTTCAAAATGATTTGCTTTAGATATTTTTAATGATGCCCATTAAATAACAAACTGAGGATTTTAAAATACTCTCTAAAATGATAAGCTTTTATCAGTAGCTTTCTCATTTCTCAAAGCTCCATTCTACCAGCCTTTCCAAAGCCTCAGCAGCTGGCATGTAGAATCTGCAATTTGTGGTTGATAACAGCAGTGCTCAGACCCCAGAGAGGTGCCAAATGTCTGTAAGATACTCGCTGATTACAAGAGGAGAGGGATCAGCCAAAAAGGCCTCTGTGAGAGCTTTTCAACTAAGTCCAGTGCCCTGACACTGTATTTTCAGAGATATGATTATAATTGATTCTCAAATAGGTCATGAGGGCGGGGTCTGGAATGGGTGGGGTGACCCATGTGGCCACTGCCCATGGGCCTCCTAGGGGTGTGGGGTGTGGAGTCTGAGGGTCTGTAGTGAACTGAAATGTGCCCAATATTCTGAAATAAGGAAATAACAATGTGGATAGTCTTTAATCTTTCTCTTTGTGTCTTTACAGCTTCTGATTCAATTCTGACTCTCTATTCTGTAGACCTAGATTGCACTTTGTCTTTTGGGCAGTCATGGACCAGTATTTCCCAAACAATATGGCTAGAGAGAGAGGCATTTTATATTTAAATAAATACACATATAACCACATATGCATATATATGTATTTAACTTAGGTTTCTTTTCTGAAATGATGAAAAAAATGTGCATGCTCCAAGAAGAAATGTAGGTGGTTTTTCTGTCCAGTGGGAGAGAAAAGATTGTGGGAAAGAGAAAAGTTCAGTGAGGATAAAGGGCTTTTTGAAAATACTTCTTTAAAAAAATATATATATTTTCATTGATTTTAGAGAGGAAGAGAGAGGGATAGAGAGATAGAAACATCAATGATGAGAGAGAATAATTGATCAGCTGCCTCTTGCATGTCCCCTACTGGGGATGGAGCCCATAACCCAGACATGTGTGTGCCCTTGGCTGGAATCAAACTTGGGACCCTTCAGTACACAGGGTAAAGCTCTATCCACTGAGCCATACCAGATAGGGCTAGGCCTGGAAATACTTCTTAATACTTCCTGATGCAACAAACATGCAACTGATACCTCTCCAACATTTTCTCCCCTGAGGAATATTTTCCTTCTATTTAGAATTTATTTTTATAGTACCAGGTCAGCATTTTTATGGCCCCTTAACCATTTTTATTTTCAAAACATAAAATAAAAATTTGTGGTTTTGTGTCCAGTAACACGGTCCTATCTCTTTCCTCACGCAGAGGGTTACTCCTGCAGGAGAACAGCAGGTTTGCAGAAGCGCTACATTATTATAAACTGGCCATCGGGAGCAGGCCTACCCTGGCTTGTGAGTAACAGTCAAGTTTTTCTTTTTCTTTTTCTTTTTTTATTTTTTTTAGTTTTTCTTTTTAAATATCTTTTTCTTTTCCTCTTTATGCATTAAAATTATTTCTTTGACTTACAACCCCATGGTGCTCCTGTTTTGAAAACTTGCCAATCAAATTATCAGTCTCTAATAATTTTATCTCTCATTTTAATCATGTTTTGATATCAGTTTATTATTTCTTAATATGTTCAGATATATACAACTTTTATTCATCTAGATTGTAAGTTCAGAATGTGTTGAACTTTTTAAGAACAGAGACTATTCCAGGTGTTTTTCAGTGGTACCAACACTTCTTACTACAATATATTAATTGTTCCCATATGTATTTGTTGCTTAAATATTTATGTCTTGGTTTCTTTTAAAATCAGAAGACAGTAAATTGAAATAAAGGTAACTTACTGTATCCAACGTGCACATCATCTTCTTACATTTATATTTCCATGTTTTTCTCTCAGCTGCATATTTAAACACCGGCATTATTCTGATGAACCAAGGAAAGACAGAAGAAGCCCGACGTACATTCCTAAAGTGTTCTGAGATCCCCGATGAGAACCTAAAGGACCCTCACGCGCATAAGAGCTCGGTGACCAGCTGTCTGTACAACCTGGGAAAACTCTACCACGAGCAGGGACACTATGAGGTCAGGTCCAGACCTCTCTCCCCCTTTCCTTCCTTCTTGTTCTGATCCCGTCTCAGTGCTTTCACCTTATGATTTCATTGCTGTGAGCATTTAAGAAGCTAGTGTTGTTTTATTGAAAGAGTTTCAAGATGAAATTCGTCTGGGGGTGGGGGAGCCCTCTGCTAAAGAGCACTTACCGCCTAGTCGGTTTGGCTCAGTGGATAGTGTCAGCCCATGGACTGAAGGGTCCTGGGTTTGTTTCCCATCAAGGGCACATGCCTCCATTGCAGGCTCCATCCCCAGCCCTGTAGGGCTGCATGTTGGAGGCAACCAATTGATGTGTCTCTCTCATGTCAGTGTTTCTCTGTTTCTCCCTCGCCCTTCCACTCTCTGTAAGAATCAATGGGAAAAATATCCTTAGGTGAGGATTAACAAAACAAACAGCAAAGAATACTTACCAGATTTCTTTTTGTGTTGTTAATCCTCACCCAAGGATATTTTTTCCATTGATTTTATTTTAAAAGAGAGAGGGAGGGAGGGAGGGTGGGAGGGAGGGAGGGGAAAAAATAAGATATATAATTCATTTTTCTAGTGTTTAAATTAAAAAATCTATGTGAACTGAAATTTTATATTAAAATAAAAGAGCTTTATAATATTCAGCTACTTGTGACACTAAATTTTTATCTGGCCTTCTTCACTCACTGGGTTGAATATTTTTATTCATGAAATCGTAGTAGTATGACATAAAAGTACAGCTGAATTATTTCCCTCCAGTGAACCATTTAGAAATAGCAATGGAACTTTGTAATTTTGAAAGGATGTTATTTTATTTTTGGTGAATATTGTAGTCTTTCATCTTTTTGTTGTTGTTTGTTTCTTAAATTAGGAAGCCCTTACTGTATATAAAGAAGCAATTCAGAAAATGCCAAGGCAGTTTGCTCCACAGAGCTTGTACAACATGATGGGTAAGTCAAACCTTAATATTTCAATTGCTGTTTCTGGGACCTGTGGGGAAATTAAAACCTGTGCTTTTGTTAAATCAAATTCTAATAAGTTATAGCATTGATCCTGACTAGAAAACTCTTTATTCACAATTGGGTATCACATTCACATTTTCACATAGCATACTTTTTCTAAGAAGAGCAAATACATGCATTATCATATTGATTCTCAACAAATTGTCCAGATAGCAGAGATCTTATAGGGGCTCACAGCTTTTTGGGGTATTAAGAGTTAGCTGGATTCTGGAGATTGAAAAGATGAATAAAGTTCACAGATTTTAGTGAAGTTATCAAATTCATGATACTTTTTAATCATGTTACTTGCTTAAGCAGAAGATCCTCAAAAGTAAACATGCTGTGATGTAGAGATGAATGCTTTTTGGTACTTGTAACCGATGGGATTAACAGAGTCAATCTGTATGGTTTTTATTGATCAGGCCTTGGATCTTCATAGGTTTTTTTCTGAGTTAGTATTTTAGAGTAAAAACAATCTGTGAAAACAGCAAATGTGCTACTACAATTATTTCTTTTTCTACATTGGGTAATTACCTTAATTTTCTTATTAGAAAGTATGCAGGCTAGGGCATTGATTTTTCTAAGTGCAAGAGCTCAAAAATTAGAATTTCTAATAAAATATCTATCACTTTCAGTTGATTTGTGACTGTGAGTTGTCACCTCAGCTATTTGATGGTCAATGGAAGCTGTCCATTCAGTGTATGTATGTGTGTGTGTGTGTGTGTGTGTGTGTGTGTGTGTATATATATATATATATATATATATATATATATAATTTTAAAATCCAGAGCACAGATTGCAAACTCAGATTTTTCTTTTTATTAAACTGGTTAAGTTGCTTACTATTTCTAGGCTTTTCTCGTGCATATAAAAGTAATGAGACAACATGGTCTCTAGGATTATTTTATGTTTTTGGTTTCTATTATTTGAGAGATTCGATACTAGTTTGTATAGCTTGAGTACACACACGTTAAAAAAAAAATCTAAATCCTCCCAAACTATAGAATATGTGCCTGGCCTAGCCAGTGTGGTTCAGTGGTTGAGAATCGACGTATTTACCTGGAGGTCTTGGTTAGATTCCTGGTTAGGGCACATGACCAGGTTGCAGGCTCAATTCCCTGTAGAGGGCATGCAGGAGGAAGCTGATCAGTGATTCTCTTTCATCATTGATGTTTCTATTCTCCTTTTCCCTCTCCTTTCCTCTCTGAGAAAGAACAACAACAAAAAAAGAATATATGCCTGGCAAGGACACACACTTTCCCTTTTTTCTAAATGACAGAAATTTAAGAAATAGTTTAGAGACAGAATAAGGCAAGAGTCAATAAACAGAAAAAAATCATAATTTGGAAGAGGTTAATATATTCATTCTATATGACCCCTGCCCCAGTTAGCCTGTGCAGCCGTGGAATAACTTAATGCTCATATTAAAAAGGACATTGGAGTATTTCTAGTTGTTGCTTCTTTTTCTCTTTGCTATGATTACTAAAAGCTAAAATTTACCTTCATTAAATGTACTTTTCCCCTTAAACTCTTATAATTTAAAACAGTGCCTTATACTATCCATCAGTCTATCTACTCAGATGAAATGTACATGCCCAGGATGTGTGTATTTAGAATGTTTAGATTTATCAGAATTAACTTTTAAACATTAATATTGGATGGTTATTTCTGTCAAAGTGAACACTAAAAGGATCACTTTTACTAGTTTTATCTAAAGAGGTACAGTGATTTTAGTTTATGATTTTATTCTTAATGCTAATGCTTGGGAAGGCCATTATTTCCAATTTCCCTCAATTATGAAATATGATGTCTTTCTTTAAACTGGGAAGGGACTTTGAGATACTTGGTAACAGACTGCATTTGGCATCTTGATTGTTAATAGGAAGTGTGGCGTTCACTATAGTTAGTGATTTCAGAAAATCCATTCAATTATTTTATGTTAATTGATTGAAAACTCAGCTGGTACCTTGGGATCTGTCTCTCTATGGTTACATGGTAACACAAATACTGAGCACACACAGGCAGTGGAAGATAAGTTGGACCATGAGGTTATTGTTTAGTCCTTTATCTTATTTTCCATTATAGAAAGAGGCAGTAGCTTTGCCCAGATTCTAAAAAGCACTCTAACAATTTTCAAGGGGAGAATCCCAATATAATTTAAAATTGCAGATTTCTCCCCTAATTATTGTGGTTTCCTTCTGTTCAATTTTGTGTGAAGGTCTGTTATCTGACCAGGCTTGTTCCGTGTTTCCCTGAAAATAAGACATCCCCTGAAAATAAGACCTAGCACAACTTTGGGAGAAAAAATTAATATAAGAAACTGTCTTATTTTCAGGGAAACAGGGTAGTTTCAACTATTTATGAAACTATAATTTTCTCAGAGAGTGAGTCCACCACCTAACCAAATGGGTGAAATCCTCTGAGTATTTGCTTTAACTCCTAATACATTTTGATTAGCTTCCATTTGACAAGGAAAAAAAAAAAAAAAGGCCCAGGAGATAAACTGCCTTACCAGTTCATCAGTTTCATTAGTCTGTCAGCATGTGCTGATTATCCTATCAAGTTTATCAACAGCCTTGAATGTGTTTTCTCATCCTCACATTTACATATTATTAGTGCCCTTCAGGGATCAGTGATGGATTATAATGTCTGGCTAGATTTAACCTGTAAGTATTCATTTTTCTCATGGCTCATTCATTTCCCCTTAATGACCACTTTCTGCAAACACTTGTGTGTATGTATACAAAGATTCTTTTCCATCCTGCTTTTTCTTTTATTTGAAGGTTAGGAGAAATAAAGGAATATTTGTGAAAAAATTACAGTCACATTTGAATGTTATTATTAGTTTAATAACTCAATTTACTGCAGTTACTCTTTAAAAAAAATACATACAAAAACATACTAGTTCTTTGCACTTTCCTTCCCCTTGAACATTTTATGAAAAACTTTTACCACTCTCTATTCCATATGCTGATAGTTGACTTATTCTGAATACCAAATAAGCAAGTATATTTTCCCAATTGTGTATTAATAGAAAAACACATTTGATTTATTTCCCAATTTAATTTTATCCTAAGTTTGCTAATCTTTACTCTGGCAGTTCATAAGTAAATTTTTAAAAATATCTTCTTATTATTCTGTTTGATTTCATAAATCTTAGGTGATTGAATAACAACAATTGAGAAGTTTACATCCCATTCAAAATTATGTAAATTATAAACATAAAAATAATGGAAAGCAGATGCTAAATATTATAAACAAAAATTAAACTTCCACCTACATGGTGGTTATAATTATCAAGGTATGAGGATACATAAAATATTTTAAGATCAAATCACAAAATAACCACTAAGTGGAGATTCAGTATAGTGTGAAGTCAGATAGCCCAGGTTCAAATGATGGCTTTGACACTTACAAGCTGAGCAAATTACTTAAGTGAAGCCTCATCTCTCCCCTCCGTTAGTGGCTGTAATATTATAGTAGTGTCAGCTTGAGGATTAATTGGGTTGATGAAAGTAAAGTTATTGGATCAAATGCCCAACCTAGGAAGTATATTTAGGTTACCTCCCTTATAATCATTACCATTTCTATGGATCTTTAAGCTCCAAATGCCAATGACTGTATTCTCTATCAGGTATTTTTGTATTTACCAATATAAGTATTATTTTTCTATACATAAGATTTTGTCATAGTGATGGCCTTACAGTCACCACTGATTCAATGAGGATTCTACTTAGTTCTGTCCTAGAACTGCTGTATTTTCTTTAGAAGTTCATTTTCCCTTGTCCCTTAACAACCATAGTCAAAATCATTCTTTGATCAGTAACTATGTTAACCAAAAGTGAAATAGCTTACTCAGCTAATGCCCAGTTAACTTAAATTCATTAATAGAGCACTTCCTCTAAATTAAAATTGTCATTTTAGGTTAGAGTTTCTTCTGTTTTTCTTATCATGGCATATTTTCCCCCCTAGACTTATTTAAAATTATTTTTTATGTTAACATCCAGTACAGGTCTTTATTGAATCTCTATTTTTCTTTTATTCTCAAAGTATAGGTGTGTTTTAGAATCAGAGAATATTGACATTGGAAGACTCATATCTTAAAATCCTCCTAACATAATCACTTCTATTTTGCAAGATAAAAATAAACTCTCAAAGTGTATGCTCAGTATTATACCATTTGTATTAGAACCAGTATAGCTTTCTGACTTAAACTCAAGTGCTTTTTCTAGTTAGGCTTCTGTATTATGAAACTGGCATGCTTTGTACCGTGTCAATATAACTTTTCTTTGCCTATTTAAAAATCAGTGAAATATATGTATATTTCATAGATATATTTTTGTTATAATCTACCAGAGGCCCAGTGCACACAATTCGTGCAAGGGGCTCAGCTCTCATAGCTCCTGCGTGTTTTGGAAAGTCTTCCCAAAGGTTGTTCAGCTGTCCGGTCTAATTAGCATGTTGTGCTTTTATTATTATAGATTACATAGATATGTAACAAAAACCTCTTCATCTTAACAAAAAAGAATAAACCACCTATGATACTGTGATTTCATCACAGATGTATTAACCATGCAGGGTATTATTTTTTTAACTTTTTTTTTTTAATGTAGGATAATTGCTATCTATCCTCAATTTTTCTCTTCTTTCTCTATAATTATTTTCCTTAAAACGTCCACTTAAACATTGCTTTTGAATAAGATTAGGGGGAACTAAATTAGGCTGTAACTTCCAGTTACTTTTGTCAGCTAGAGCCTTTTAAACCCCAGTGGTCATTTTAAGCCTATTTACTATTTAAAATGAAATCACTCTGCTTTCTCAATGCAAAGTAATTGTTGGGTTTAATTACATAAGCAATTTAGGCCATTTCACTTGGTAATTTATCCTGAGGACAAAGTGACATAATGTGTTACATGAAGTAAGAGAGAACCTAGAGTTAATGCTTTATC